AAACTCCCAAGAGAGGAGTCCCTGTCTCCATTCCTGTCCTTCTATTCTTTTTTTCTGCAGCCATAACTCTGCCCAAATCATCCTCCTCAAGGTCACCTTGGCTTCTGCATTGCTGAATCCATGTAGATTCTGAGGATGTTCCCCTTCCTTGGTCTGTGACCACTGCTTCAGTATATGAACTTCTGTCTTCTTGCCGAATCTCTCTCTTCTTCCCACACTCTTCAGTTGTTGGCGTGCTCCTGGGCACAGTCCTTGGAGCTCTGCTTCTCTGTCCCTCTTCACCTCACCATGGGTGATCTCATTCATCTGTTCCACCTAGATGTAGTCAACTTGAAATGAAAGTATACAGAGATGACTCTCCAAGCAATGGATCTATTTGGGAATAATATTCAGGAAGTAGAATTGCAATTCAGGATGCACGCATAGACCAGGGTGACCTTGGGTATATCCAGAGAAACCAAGGAAAATGCCAGTGTTTTGTTGGGAAAAGAGAAGGTTGTACAAGTTATTATGAAAGAAAGTTTATTGGTGCTGGTGACATCTTACTGGAGTGGGTGAGTTCCGGCTGGTGAGAGTCGGTAATTGCTAGGTATGACTTGTAGGCTTGGAGTTATGGTTAGCCCCTTGTAGTTTGGGATTGGGCTTGTGAGACGGATTCAGAACAGGCAGGAATATGCAAGCCAAGTATTTTCCTCTGTGATCTCTTGACTCTCTTTTCATTGGCGATGACACAAATGACTCCATTTCGTATAATCTCCAACTCAGATCTCTCTCCTGTTTCCCTCAATCACATTCCAACTCTGTCCCCAACCTCTGGAAGCTTATTAGAAGTATACAACTGAACATGCCCTAAATTGAACTCTGGAGTCTGTCCTCTCCCTTCCTCTACCAGCCGCCTTCCCTGTCTCTATGGATGGCTCCTTCTTCCTTCCCTTTGAGGCCTGGCGTGATGGTTGATCTTTCACATACCCCACATGCCATCTTTCAGGAAACGTGTTGGCTTTTCTTCCAAACCCCACCAGATTCTGACCACCTCTCACCACCTCCACTGATTCCACGTTGGGCCAAGCCACCCGCTTCTCTCCTGTGTGACTGCAGTAGCCTCCCAACTGGCCTTCTTGCCTGTCCCACCTCTGACCATCCCAAGCAGTGAATCTCTCTTTTTCTCTAATAGTCATACTGACAGTTCACATCTCACACAATTCACATAAAGTAAACAATTCAGTGGTTTTTAATATAACTCACCATCTTTAACCATCATCCCAGACCCCTTCTCCTCCCTCCCCTCTACACAACTACTGTTGGACTTCCTGTCTCTATGATCTGCCCACTCTGGGTATTTCCTGTAAATGGAGTCCTGAACCATGAGGTCTTCAGTCAGTGGTTCTTTGATGTCTTCCATCAGATCATGTCAGCCCGCTGCTCACCATCCCACGCCTTGTCATCTACTGGACTCTCTGTGATCAGGCCCCGTGTCCTCTCTGATCCCATTGTCTCCTCTTTCCCCTCTTGCTCATTTGATTCCTACCACCCTGACTTCCTTGCCCTTCTTCCCAAGGCCCCTGCACAGGTTCTTCTGCCTGGATGTTCTTTCCTCAAACGAGTCCGGGACTTGTTCCCTCCCCTCATTGAAGTCTTCCTTTTTCCTTTGCTCACGTGTCCCCTTTCAGTGAGATCTACCCTCACCATTCTGAGTTTTGCATCCTGCCGGTCCCCTCAACCTATCCGGACTTTGGCATTCCCAATTCCTTTGCTCTTCATTTTCTTCCCCCCCCCCAAACCACTCAACGTTCTACAGCATATTCTCTAAGTAACTTAGTTATTGCCTTTCTCTCTGCTAGAATGGAAACTCCATAGAGTGGCTTTGCATGTGGCTCCCTGTCATATATCCCAGGTGTATCTCTGGCTTATAATCAGTTTGTCATTGATAGTTGGGTGACTACTGGGTTTATATCCAAAGGAAATGAAATTAATGTGTCACAAAGATACCTATACTCTCATATTTTTGCAACAGTATTTATAATAGCCAAGATATGGAATCAATGAAGGATCTATTGATGGATCACTAGATAAAGGGAAAACTATATATATATATATATATATATATATATATACACATATAAAATATACTCACCATGCTCTTCTGTTACTGTGAGAAATTACATCAACTTAAAAAAGATGAAGGATTTATTTTGACTCATGGTTTCAGTACATGGTTACTTGGCCCTGATACCCTGGGCACAATACATTATTGTGGGAGCTCATGGGGGAGAAGAGCTGTTCAATTCATGGCAGCCAGAAGCAAAATTAGAAGAAGAGGTTAGCATACTAATATCGCCTTCAAGAACATGCTTCCAATGACTTAACTTCTTTCTACTGGGCTCTGCCTCCCAGCCTCTCAAAGGTTCCACCATCTCCCAATAGTGCCATAGACTGATGACTAAGCCTTTAACATGAGGTCTTTAGGGCATGCTCCAGATCAGACTGTAACAATATGCACAATGAATATCATTCAGCCATGAAAAAGAATGAAATTGTGTCATTTGTGACAATACAGATGGAATTGAAGGACATGTTCTCACCCTTATTTGGAAGCTAAGAAATAGGAGAAGAAAGTAGATTAGTGATTCCTAGAGGCTATGAAGTATAGAGGAGGAGTATAGGGAAGGTGGATAACAGGTACTCAAATACAATGAGATAGGAGAAATGTGCTCTACTATTCCACAGCACAGTAGGTAAACTATAGTTCACAAAAATTTGTCATACAATTCATAAACCACTAGAAGAGAAGAGTTCCCAGGTTTCCAAGACAAGGAAATGGTAAGTGTTAAAGGAGATGGAAATCTTAATTACTCTGATTTGGTCATTACACACTGTATGTACGCACAGTAGACAGAGGACAGCTACTTAACCAGACACACATCATATCCAGTTATCACACAGTACCCTTTAAATATGTACAACGACTGTGTGTCAATTAAAAGTAAAATAAGATAAAATTGATTTAAAAAAGTGGTTGAGGAATGAAACATGGACATTCAGCCGGCAAAACCCAGGGCTCGGCTCTGTGGCGGGATCCCAGCTGTTTCACCTGCTGTGTGTTCCCGGGAACTAGAGCAGCTCCAGTTCCTCTGCGGCTTCCTCCAGGCTTAGAAGGAATAGCCGTAGCCCCAGAGTGGAGGGAACTGCTTCAGTTTCTTCCAAACCTCAGAACAGCTGGGCTGTTTCCAGAGCATGCAGCTTCTCCAAGGTCTCTCCAAGAACACTGCTTTGGTGTACGCTTGCTGTAGATGTTCAAGGCCTTCTTGGGGTGGGGATAGGGGGGGGGACCCCAGTTTCTGGTTAAGTAGCTGTCCTTTAACATCCACATTCTCAGGAGCAGCAGCCACATTGTCCTGTGTTTGGAGAGAGAGATTGCTGTCTGGGCTTCTTTAGTTTTGTCTGCTCTTCCTTTGTCAAACACCTCACAGTACAAGAAGTACTGGGTTTTTGTGTCTTGATCAATTCAGGGATGAAGTCAATACCTGCAGATAGGGAGGGTCCAAGTTGCCTCCTTTCCTTTGACACTTTTCAGACAAAGCCAGTCACATAGGAACACAGGCCCAGAGGCCCCTCATCAGGCCCCATACTCTTTTAATTCTGTCAACCAAAAACTGTTCTAGACATTCCAACACAGTGACTCTGATACCATCCATTGCCAGACCTCCCATAGCAGTGCCCTGTCCTGCTCTGTACTTGTGAAGCAATAATTAACTGATATGATTGGTTCAAAAGTATGAAGACTTTTTTCAAAGTAGCAGAAAGGATGTTGTCTTAGCTCAAGCTGTTGTAACAAAAATGCATAGGCTGAATGGTTTAAATAGCATTTATTTATCACAGTTTTGGAGACTGGGAAGCTTAGTGCCAAGGTGCAGGTGGACTCAGAGATTGATGAGGGTGCACCTTCTTGCCATGTCCTCACATAGAGGAAGGGGAGAGCCCTCTGGGGTCCCTTTTATGAGGTCACTAGTCCCGTTTATGAGGCTCCACCCTCATGGCCCATCACCTCCCGAAGACCTCGTCTCCTTTGACCATCGCATTGGGGTTTAGGGTTCAACATATGAATTTGGGGAAGGGACCACGAGAGACTTGTGGGTAGAACATTTGGGATTGGTGTCTATCTTCCCCAAGCACCTGAAAATAACATCTGCCCTTTATGTGCACAGAGAGGAGGGGGTGTGGCTCTGAGTCTAAGGTCCAAGGCCTTGTAGGAGGGAAGATCCCAAACGCAACATGAAGGAACATTGTCCATCATGACTCCCAGGGCAGCCCCTCCCCTAAGAGGGACTGGAGCTAACTTTGAGGCAGGGGGATGCTGGGCAACATCTTGCCAGGCACAGCAACATCTGGATGCTGGAGTGTGGCACGGCCTTTAGGGCTATGTCAGGACTGGGACATGATGGTGAGGTGGGAGAGAGCTGGGCCATCTGCTCCCTGGTTGCTGGAATAAGAGCAACTTGGGCCAGGATTATGGTCAAGTGGATGTAGGTGAGAACAGGGGGCAGGGCTGAGGCTGAGGATGTCAGAGAAGGAGCAGAGCCAGATGAGGAGGCTGATCCATGTACTTGGGGGAGAGGGAAGGATCGTTAGAGCAATCCTGGTTCAAAGGGATCTCTAGGATCTCCTAGGAGCTTTTCATGGGGTTCACATGGCTCATGTGGGGGTCCAGCTTCAGAAAGGACCAAGTGTGGGCATCAAGGCTGAACTCTACCTTTGCTCTGAGGAGAGGTGGCCCTCCCTCTTTCCCACCTCCATCTTTTCTCTGACCCTGTTCAGATGCCTGGGGCCAGGATGGGAATAAGGTTCAGTCCTTTGTCAGCTTTTTTGTTGCACTGACCCCAAGAACCTGGCACAAAGGAACCAGGTGAATTTCTTAAGGCCTCCTGACTGGGACCATCATAGTTAGCAGAACTCATATACATAGGCAGGCACTTGGTTCCTTTGATGGGAAGGACACCAGCTCCACACACCCAAGCATTTCATTGCTCTCCTGTGAACTCATTTCCTTCTCCTTGTTTATTCTTCTGTTCTGTCGCGCCTCAACTTTCACTGGGCACTTCTTCAACTGGGGCAGAGATGAATTGGATGCATTTCCCTGGAGTTCATGGTCTTAGTGGGAGAGATTTGGGAACTGATGAATTTGTCATTCCACATGATCAGTGTTTTAGCAGAAGAAAATATCGGGTTCTGGAAGAATCTAGAAGAGAGAGAATAATTTATTGCAGCTGTGACAAGACAGGACACAAAGCTGTGATTTGAAGGAATCTTCTAGTGTCTTGTTCCATTTTCTATTATGATAACTGATGACTACAGACTAGGGCATTTATAAAGAATAGGGGTTTATTTGGTTCGTGGTTCTGGAGGCTGAAGTCTTAAGAACACAGTCCTGGCCCCTGGGGAGCACTTCCTTGCTGCATTTTAACATGGAGAGACAGATCAAGCATGCTAGCTCCAGTCATTTTTCTTCGTCTTAAAAGCCAGTGATGCCGTCACGAGGGCACCTACCCTCAGGACCTCAGTTAACCATAGTTACCTTTCAAAGACTCCACCATTAACATATGAATTTGAGGATTAAATTTCCAACACCCGAAACTTTGGAGGACGCATTCAAACCACAGCAGCCAGAGAGGGCAAGGGATGGACATTCTGGGCAGAGCACTCAATGTTACCCAGGATCCACAGCTGTCAGAGCATCACAGGGGCCTTGGCAGTTTTCATGGGCAGGAGACAAGCATGTGGGTG